GTTCTCCCACCAGTGATGGACACACACGATCCATCATTTTGTTTGAGGAGGTCTTCACCTACATATTGTGCATGTCCCTACAGATGTACCAGCACGGCAGAGATCTGTGCGAGAGCCTGTGGGGCGACGCCTTCATGACGGTGGAGGACGAGCCCGAGGAGGTGGGTGAGGCCGGGGAGATCGGGTCCGAGGGCGACGGCGGCCGCCCCTGCGGCTGCCTGACCCTCAGTCCCTCGGACAAGGACGTGATCGCCGCCCTCAGGGCCCAGCAGGACGACCCCGAGGAGCTGGACACCACCAAGACCGGCCTGCCTCAGTACCGCGCCCCCTGCCAGACCAAGCTGCCCGTGCAGACCGTGAGCGGCAGGAAGGGCAACTCGGTGCTGCGTAAGCGCTCGGTGGAGGTGGAGGACGTGGAGGGCAGCGGGAGCGGCTTGTAGATGATGGTAGACGGTCATATATTTAGAGGTAATTGTCTAGATCCTAATATTTAAAAAAACAAAACAACAACCATCCTTTGAAACGGAGCTGCTCCTTTAACTTTCCACCCAAACCTAAGCTCTCATTATCATCGTATAACCACTGAGTTCTGAATATCTGGTGTAAGAGAGACTGAAAAGCTTTCAGCAAACATCCGATCAGTTAAATGAACATTATAGGAAAAATACGCCACAACAGTATTTAAACTTCTATTCTGCAAGGGCTCTGACTTCAATAACCAACATATTGATAATCTCCTATAACGGCTGCACAGATGTTGCATCGTCAGCTACCAAGATGATTTTTTTTTTTACCGGCTTTATCTCGCTCACTCGACCTTATGAGCTGAGTCTTGCACATGATGAAGGCCCGACACTATCAGCGCTCCTGCATGAATCGTCCTCCACCTTAAGATTTCATGACAGTATCGTACCTGCACCAGTACCTCCACCGCCGCCCCGCCGCCACCCGTCTAGCTGACTTCCATCTGCGCGTTAGTCTCTTGTTAAATGCAGATCTTACCGTCGTGCTTGCTGTGCAGTCTGCTCGTCATGATAGTGGAGAAACGCAGAGTAACCATAATAATAATGAATGTAACTTAGATTTTCTTACGGAGACCTGATCACGAGGGATCTTGGTGTGGTAACGACAGCGGAGAGGTTTAACATTCTGAAGCTAAATCCGCCCGGCGGGGTGAAAACCCGCCGAGGCAGCACCGGATGAGGTGGCTCTGGCAGTTTGGTCTCGTATGGCCGATGTACCGTTGGTGTTTCTTTGATAATCACGTATTTCTAGAGTGAAACACTGTTTAGATGTACATGTTTTGTAAAAAAAAAAACAAGGAAAGAAGAAGTGACGTGCGGTAAGCTTTCTGAAATGAGTGTTTCTGTGCTTTTTCTTTATCATTAAAGACAACATTTCTAAATGTCACCTCGGAGGCCTTTTCGATTCATTTGTCACGACTCGATCACCCGTAAGGTCAAGAGACTGTTCTAGAGAGAAGCTCAAAGAAAATGTTCCCCTTGTGCAGCACTTTCATCCCAAAAGATTTAAAGATGATACACATTCACCAGCAGCGTTATTAGGCTGAACTCTAATGCAGATGCTCGGCAACAACTTCCACCACGATCCCACAGTTTCTGTTTCTGTCGACGGAGAAGTGATGATTCTGCTTTATGTTGATCGGCGAGGTCGCGGCGGGTGACGGCGGCTCACTGGGTTGCATTACGATTTAATGTGGTCCTTTTTTTTGTGTTGTTTTGTTTTGTTTATCCCATTAAAATACATGAGGGGAGCTAAATATTAGCAGCAGCTCCTCAACGCCGCCCACTCTGACCTCAATAACAACCGGAAAGCGGAATCATCAGCTTTTCGGCGGCATCGACAAAAAACTGAGAACGGCTTCGTGGAGGTTTTACGACGGATCTGTTGTTGTGGCGT